TTTTAAGGCTTGTTTGTCTGTATCTTTGTATCCAAAACAGCTGAACCGATCCACCCCAATTTGTGGGTGGGACCTCCCATGACCCAGGGAAAGGTTTGTGGATGATCAGAATAAAATCAATTGCCGGAAAAAATTCGATACCTCAAAATCCTGAAAAATAATCGATGAAACCTATAATTTTTTGTTTGTTTGATTATTTAAGAAAAGAAAATGCGTTAGATTTGAAGATAGGTACGATGCGGCCTGGAAACCTTTTTTGAATCATGAAGTATTTCTACATAAAGTTGCACGAAGGCTTATATTGCAAACTTCTTGTTGAGTATTGACAGTTTAATTCTAATCTTAAGTAACCATGCACACCAAAGAAGCCTAAAAGGTCTTTCCACTCGTTCATTGTAATCCTGGATCAAACTAATTAAAGGTACTTACTTCATGCTCGTTACTTTGGACATAAAGTCGAATCAATGTTTATGTCCTAAACACTATATTTGGTGTCCTTTGTACTTTACATTCTGTCCTACATCCCATATATTCGATCAATCCCCTCACTTCCATTTTCTGTCCTGTGTTCTATACATTCGGTCCTTGAACCTATATTTTCTGTCCTGTTACCTATATAATCGGTCCTTAAATCTATATTTTCTGTCCTGTATCCTATACATTCGGTCCTAAACCTATTTTTCTGTTATGTGTCCTTTAATATATTTGGTCCTTAAACCTATATTTTCTGTCCTGTGTCCTTCAATATATTTGGTCCTTAAACCTATATTTTCTGCCCTGTATCCTATAATATATTTGGTCCTTAAACCTATATTTTCTGTCCTGTATCCTATATATTTGGTCCTTAAACCTATATTTCCTGTCCTGTATCCTATATATTTGATCCTTAAACCTATATTTCCTGTCCTGTGTCCATTAATATATTTGGTCCTTAAACCTATATTTCCTGTCCTGTGTCCATTAATATTTGGTCCTTAAACCTATATTTCCTGTCCTGTGTCCATTAATACATTTGGTCCTTAAACCTATATTTCCTGTCCTGTGTCCATTAATATATTTGGTCCTTAAACCTATATTTCCTGTCCTGTGTCCATTAATACATTTGGTCCTTAAACCTATATTTTCTGTCCTGTGCCTATAATATATTTGGTCTTTTAACCTATTTCTGTTCTGTGTATTCTATATATTTGTTCCAGAAGCCTATGACCTGTTCTTATAACGTTTGTTTTCTGTCCTCTATTTTTAACTCATGTTTGATTTTGTTTTTATATACAACAGCTTCATCACTTAAAAATGTGTAAATCAGAAATAAATAAGAGAATGGTGCGCGGAGGGAACTTTTTTATCAATATGTTAGAAAACATGAAATCTTTATTTCGAAATAAAATTTTGTGAGGAATTCTAGTTTACTTCTAGCGCCTGGATGAATAAATGATGGATTGTTTGAACGGACCCTATGGTGTCGTGATACTCCAATCAGTAAAGAAACAGATTCTGTCAATATTCATAGAAATAACAAGATAATCAACCATGCTGTTAAATATCATATAATCTAGTCACAGTTCCACCCTTTCCCTTTTCAATCTATCTATCTACAGTGAGAACCAGAAAACTCCGGAATAGGAAGTCGACTTTTAAACTCAAGAATTATGACTTTTTAATATTTCAATGAACATTGTGCAACGTAAACAAACCCAATTTCACCTTTGATTTGTTAAGTTACTAGAAAACTATTTGATTTGTAACAATATCAGACACTTTCGCTTTCATTTCGTTTTACTCTTCCACAGTTTTCTGGTTCTCACTCTATCTTTATATCTATCTATCTATCTATCTATCTATCTATCTATCTATCTATATATATATCTATCTATATATCCATCTATCCATCTATCTATCTATCTATCTATCTATCTATCTATCTATCTATCTATCTATCTATATTTCTATCTATCTATCTATCTATCTATCTATCTATCTATCTATCTATCTATCTATCTATCTATCTATCTATCTATCTATCTATCTATCTATCTATCCTATATGATATATGGCGGAAGAGTATGTATGGTGCCCGTTAATGATGGTTTGGCCTCGTCTTCGACAGTTTGAGGACACTGCTCAGCCAATACGCAGCCTCTTCATCCTCATGTTTATATCTATCCATCCTCATCCATCCTTCATCTCATTTATCTCATTCTTCATCCTCATCCATCCTTCATCTCATACTTATACATCCTTATACATCCTTCATCTCATTCACCCAATCCTTCTAGATACATCATTAATCTTTTTCGATTTTTCATTAATATCATTCATCTCATTCTTCTCTTTCAGCTTATTCATCTCATTTATCTCCTTCAGCTTATTCATCTCATTCATCTCATTCATCTCATTCATCTCATTTATCTCATTCATCTCATTCATCTCATTCATTTCATTCATCTCATTTATCTCATTCATCTCATTCATTCATCTCATTTTATTCATTTCATTCATCTCATTTATCAAATTCAACTCATTCATTCATCTCATTAATTTCATTAATCTCATTTATCAAATTCATCTCATTTATCAAATTCATCTCATTCATCTCATTCATCTCATTCATTAATTTCATAAATTTCATTAATTTCATTAATTTCATTAATTTCATTAATTTCATTGATTTCATTAATTTCATTAATTTCATTAATTTCATTAATTTCATTAATTTCATTAATTTCATTAATTTCATTAATTTCATTTGTGCAGTGATCTAATGACTGAAGATTCCGAATTTATTGAATTTGAGCCTCGTCTCAAATCCGCCAAAAACCGGGTTCAATTGAGCGCCGGATTAAATCTTGAAACATTGAATACAATTTTAAGTAAAACCAACCATATTTGAGCCGCGGCTCAAATACCAAAAAAAAACACTAGCCAACCCACCCCACAAGAAGAGTAAAACTATAATTATAAAAAAAATATCACTGTCACCTGTCAGAAAAGATTAATATAAAAAAGGAGCTTCTGATGGAACCTCTGTAATTTACATTCCTCCATCATGGGAAATGAATAAAATTATTTTACAAATATCCGAATTCATAAATTCTTTTTTGTGGAAAATATTTTTGTTAAGATAAGGGAGAGAAATGTTAAAGCTTTATAAAACCTGACTTGTTTTATTTTTCCTTTATGACTCTTTTTATTTTCATTTCGTACATAAAATCTTGCTCACAGTGACAGCTGTAAAACCTTTGGGTAAAGTATTTGCAAAGGAATTGACTAAACTCTATATCTTTGCAACCCAATGCCGTAGACCTTAGATATTTCTAAGTGTGAATTCTGTTAGATGAAAAAATCTAAGCTTGAAATATCAAAAGTTTCCACCATCAGGTGGAAAAAATAAAGGTATTAGAAAATCAGAGTTTGTTACAGAGACTCAATTCCTTACAGAACGTTTTTAGTCCAGAAACCAAGAAGCTTATGTATATAATGTAGATCATTGTGATGTATTCCAATCAACGTTTTAGTCTATGATAGTGTACTAATATTAAACAACTCAGTACAGCGTAGATTAGTGGAAGTTTATTTTTACCAAACAATTCAAACATGATATATTTACATCAAACAACTCAGTAGCGAGTAATTAAGTGTGAAAGAATGTATACCAAACAACTCAGTAGCAAGTAAATAAGTGTGAGAGGATGTATACCAAACAACTCAGTAGCGAGTAAATAAGTGTGAGAGGATGCATACCAAACAACTCAGTAGTGAGTAAAGTGGCGGGAAAAAGTACATACCAAACAACTTAGTAGCCAGTAAATAGGTGAAAAGCAAGTACATGCATACCAACCTACTTAGTAGCAAGTAAATCGGTTACACGTAAATATATGCTAAACAGCTCAGAGTTAGAAGCAGCAAGATTGGTGGGAGTAAATAATACCAAACAACTTGGTACGGAGTAGATTGGTGGGAGTAAATAATACCAAACAACTTGGTATGGAGTAGATTGGTGGAAGTAAATAATACCAAACAACTTAGTACGGAGTAGATTGGTGGGGCCGGATGGATGTATAGCAAACATCTCAGTCTTCTATATATATAAATTTGGCTTGTCTGTCTGTTTGGGTGTTTGTTTGTTTGTTTATTTGTATCCAATAAACGTCAAAACGGCTGAACCGATCGACCCAAATTTTTGTGAGACATCTAGGGACCCCAGGGAAGGTTTATGAATGATTGAAATTTTAGATATTTGTCTCAATCAAAATTCGATCGTCATTAAATTTTTTAAAATTTTGAAAATCCACGAATTTTTTTGTGAAAATCCGCGAATTATTTTTGTTTTGTGTTTACGATGTACACAAAGAGAACATGTTCACAATTAATTTAGAAGATGGGCGCGAAGCGCCTTCTAAGGCTAGTATATTAATAAATCTTATTAAAAAATGATGCTATTGTCATATATTGTCGTATATTTCTAGTATTTTTTCCTGTAGAGCTTGTAACTAAATTATAATCAAAAACAAATTTAAACTTGGTATTTTAAAATTCTTCAAAATCTATATATAAATTTGGCTTGTCTGTCTGGGTGTCTGTTTGTCTGTTTGTTTGTTTGTATCCAATAAACGTTAAAACGGCTGAACCGATCGGGCCCAAATTTTTTTGTGGGACATCACGTGACCACAGGGAAGGTTTATGAATGATCAAAATTTCAAATATTTGTCTCCATCAAAATTCGATCTTCATTCAATTTTTGAAAATTTTGAAAATCCAAGAATTTTTTTGTAAAAAAACCGCGAATTATTTTTGTTTTGTTTTACGACGTACACAAAGAGAACATGTTCACAATTAATTTAGAAGATGGGCGCGAAGCGCCTTCTAAGGCTAGTATTTTAAATTTTCATAGAAAATTCTACATTTTTAAACCCCGAATGTATAAGTTTATTTATTGCTTCTAGATATAAATACATGATAAATAACGAGCGTATAAGAGGAGAGGAAGATGATTAGGTCTTCTCTGGTTCCAGAATCAGAGGCTACTCATATGCGGATTTTATAATCCTCTTTAGGGGATTTCATCCTTTACGAAAAATGTATTTATAGATAAACAATGCAGCCTGAAGAAGGAACAAATGAAACCGTGCATCGATCCTTTCTACCAACTATAAATGAAACCCTGGCTGAGTTCAAAGGCAATGAAACCCTGTTAGCCCTCTATAAAAATATCACCAGGATGATTGAAATATTTCGGCAGAAAGAGTTGGAAGCTTCAGAGGTAAAACAAATGATGCAAGAATACAATGAACTTGAAAATGAAAACTAGAAATATTATTAGTGCGAGAATTTAGCAGAATGTCGTTGCCTTATAAATGCTTTTACAAGTTTTGAAAACTTTTAAAAAAGTAGAAATTATTATCCATTAGATATGATTAAAAGTTAATTGCAGAAACTTAAACTCCAAGTTCAAAGGAAGCTTCGGGGGGGAAATACAGGATTTTGTCCCTTGGGGGACTTTTCTCATTCTCCATATAAAACCATATTTTTCCCTTTCCCATGAGATCCCGTCCCCGTGTGTGCCTCTAGTAGGGAGGCAGATTTTCACCCAAGAAAAATGCCATTTCTCTTTTGAAATCTGTAGAACAAAGAAAAATGTTGTGATTCATATGTTTAACGATTTTTGACCATATCTATCTATCTATCCGAGTTGTCCTGAAGGGTTTGAACATGGCCCGCTTACAGATATGCTTCTATCAAACCTTGGCTATCCATTCTATTATACATCTATGGTTTTGAAGAACGAGAAACATTATGTAGGCAATAAATCGCAAAATTATGTGAAAATGCTATTCAATTAAGGCATCTATCTTTTTAAATATCTATCTGTATATGTTTATCTAAATATCTCTATCTATATCTGTTAATGTAAATATCTCTTCTATATCTGTTTATCTAAATATATCTATCTATAACTGTTTATCTAAATATCTATCTATATCTGTTTATGTAAATATCTCATCTATATCTGTTTATCCAAATATATCTCTATACTATATCTGTTTATCTTAATATCTCTTTTATGCCTGTTTATCTGAATATCTATCTATATCTGTTTATCTAAATATCTATCAATATATGTTTATCAAAATATCTATCTATAACTGTTTAATCTAAATATCTATCAATATCTATTTATCTTAATATCTATCTTTATATATCTGTTTATCTAAATATCTAACTATATCTGTTTATCTAAATATCTAACTATATCTGTTTATCAAAATATCCGTCAATATCTGCCCCAAGTAAAAAAAGTGAGGAATTTCCCCAGATTCACCAACCGTGGTGACTTTCTTTGAGGAATATCCGAGGAATTTCTCGAGAATCATTTCCTGTAACTGATTCCTCGGAAATTCTCGAGAAATTCTCTAGAATTGGTCCCCAAGATTAGAGATTTTTGTGGGATCACAGTTTTGAGACTCAGTTTCGAGAAATTCCTGAGAAATTCTCCGGAATTTTTCCCCAGGAAATTCCTCAGAATTTCTCCAGAAATATTCTCTGGAAATTCCTGAGAAATTCTTAGGACTTTGTCACCATGTTTACGGATTTTTTGGGGAATTTATTAAGAGAATTAGTTTCGAGAAATTCCTGGGAATTTCTCCGGAATTTCGCCCCAAGAAATTCCTGAGAAATTCTCCTGACTACTTCTCCGGAAATTCCTGAGAAATTCTTAGGACTTGGTCACCATATTTAGGGATTTTAAGGGGAATTTAATAAAAGAATTAGTTTCGAGAAATTCCTAGGGAATTAGATAAGAGAATAAGTTTCGAGAAATTCCTGAGAATTTCTCAGGAATTTTTCTCACAAAATTCCTAAGAATTTCTCAGGATTATTTCTCCGGAAATTCCTGAGAAATTCTCAGGACTTCCTCACAGAATTTTCAAGTTCCGTTTTTCACCAATAGGTGTCTCTGAGGTTCTCTTCTTTTATGCACTGCTCAAACTAAATCTTTTTTTCTTTGTATCCTTATTGATAAAAAATGATAATTTACTTCAGAACCATCTTTTAAAAAAATATTTAAAAATTTTAAAACATTTTTTTTTATTTTTTCTTGACAATTCACTTGTCTGAATAAACAAAATACATGACAACTTCAGTAAGATCAAAAACGACTATAACATTCTGACTTAAGAAGATGGTTATACTTCTAAAAAGTTGGAGGGGCAATATAGTTGTTATAAGTTATTCACTACTTTTGTTAGTGAATATTTCAAGATATTCCTGAGGAATTCTTGAGAAAATCTTGGGAATAGTTCCAGGGAAATTCCCAGGAATTGGTTCTGAAGACCTTTTTGCTACAAATTTTCTCTGGTTTTTCTGAAGAATTGGTAACAAGAAATTCCCTAGAATTGGTTACAAGAAATTCCTTGGATAGAGTTACGAGAATTTCCTCGGAATGGGTTACAAGAAATTCCTCGGACTTGGTTCCTCAGAATTGGTAACGAGAAATTCCTGGGAAAAGCTGTCGACATTTTCACCGGATTTTCCTGTGAAAGATTCCTGGGAATTTCCGCGGATTCCCAGGAAAGATTCCTGGGAATTTCCGCGGATTTTCCACAAAATTGTTACTTGGGCTTATCTAAATATCTATCTATACCTGTCTATATCTAACCAGGGATACAGGGACAAGGATGAGAGCCAGGCCTACCTCTACATCCTCTTCGTTCTAATGTTCTACGCCTTCAGTATCGTCATCCTCATGGTCAAATATATCAGGAGGGAGAGGGAGGGACATAGGTACATCATGATTAGACTGTATTCCTAGTATAGTTCTAGACTAGACTCCCAGTATAGCTCTAGACTAGACTCCTAGTATGGTTCTAGACTGGACTCCTTATTATATTTTTAGACTGGACTCCTAGTATAGTTCTAGACTGGACTCCTAGTATATTTCTAGACTGGACTCTTAGTATATTTCTAGACTGACTCTTCGTATATTTCTAGACTGGACTCCTAGTATATTTCTAGACTGAACTACTAGTGTAGCTCTAGACTGGACTCTTAGTATATTTCTAGACTGGATTCCTAGTATAGTTCTAGACTGGACTCTTATTATATTTCTAGACTGGACTTTTAGTATATTTCTAGAGTGGACTCTAAGTATATTTTTAGACTGTACTCCTGGTATATTTCTAGACTGTACTCCTGGTATATTTCTAGACTGGCTTCTTAGTATATTTCTAGACTGGACTCCTATTCATTTCTAAACTGGACTTCTACACATGGACTCCTATTTTATTTCTACACAATACTCCTAATTCATATTTAGACTGGACTCCTATTATGAAGAATTTGTTCGACGAAGTTGGTATACAGATAAATCTCTTTACGATAAAACAGGAAAAAATAAAAATCAAGTACTTTGTTACATCGTTTAAACGTGTGTTGTTTGTAGATGAATAAAGATGAAAGGCATGGGAATGAATTCACCCATCATTTAAATTTCATACCTATTTTTTTTCTTTGATGTTACCTTATTTTCTCACAGTTTTAGTATTTTCTTCATTTTTAACTTTTATGACTACAAAAATTATAATAGATAGCGCAAGTCGGCCTCACCCAAGGAGTATGAAATAGAAGGGAGATACAACTGACGCGGCCCGCCCTACCATATGATTATGCATGCTTTGCAGACGGTACTCCATTTTTATAAGAAATATTCAGAATAGGTTATTGTATACGCGGTAATTGTACATCAGACAAATATTTCTTAATCAAATGGAGTACCGTCTGCAAAGCATGTATAATCATATGGTAGGGCGGGCCGCGTCAGTTGTATCTCCCTAATATTTCATACTCCTTGGCTTTACTATATACTGTTCTATTTGTCTAAATAAAGCACCACATCTAGGTAACAAATTCTTCAAAACAATAGGAAAAGACTGAACAGATTTTTATGAAGTTATCTCAGGAAGAAAAGTTAAAACGAAAATCATGCGTAAAAATTCTAAACAGGTAACGCATAAATAATCCTTTTAATAATTCTAAAAATAAATTAAACACAGTTTACAGACAAAAGAAAAATAAAAATATTTCTTCAGACGCAGCCATTTTTTCTTCATAAACCATCAAATCATAACAATGTCAGATTTCGCAGATTGGAAATTAGTTCTGACCTTCCACATACCTTTCCTTTGGGGCATGTGAGTCGCCACAAAAAAATTAATTGGGCCTGATTAGTTCAGTAATTTGACGTTGATTGGATTCAATGAGACAAACCACCTGACAAGCCAATATATAATATGTAGAAGATAAAAGCTGAAAATATAAAATATAAAATCGAAAATAAACAAACGTTACCAAGCTAAATGTTTGCAGTTAGGTGAAACTGAACCTTTGGATTCCGATGATGAAGATTATCTGGAGAATATGTATAAAAACAAGGTCGGACAATTCTATTTAAATCTCAAATAAAACCATTATGTCAACTCAGATCTAGATTGTATACTAAAATTCCATGTTTTTCAGTCTACAACTCTATACAGGGTGCAGCAGAAGCGACATACAATTTAAGATACGAGCAACAAATGAATATCCAATTTCCATTGCACAGTTTTGCAAAATAAATTTTGCTTTAAAAAAACTAGTAACCAATCTCTTTAAACTTTAAAAGAATATTTTGAATGCGTTATTCAGACAATTTTTGTTCCTTGATTAAAATCTAATTATAATCCTAATTCAGAAACTCATAATTAGGTTTAATATTAAACCATATTTTCATTTTAAGTAAATGAGATTCGTTGCAAAAAAGCTTCAGACGTTAAAAATGAGAGATATTTCTGCGAAATAGTTAGCTTTTGCAAACCTTCTTTTACGGACTAAACACTTTTTGAAATCTGAAATTTCTCGGATTTAAGAAATACTTTTTATTACCCTGCATTTTCGCTAGACGGATAAAGGGTGGTTTAGTATATTTGCAACCCTGTAAACATTACTGTTTAGCCGACTATAAAGAGTATGCATACACATTCAACTGGCATTTTATTGCAAGGATAAAGATCTTTACCTCACAGTACACTTAAACCCTTTTCAGGTTTATATAAGCTTTATATGGTCGGTATTCCGAGTATGGGGGGCATTGTTTCATACTTTCGGGGGGAAGGAGTAAAAAATAGATTTCAAAAAGTCTTTTATTTAGAGATTAGTCAAACCAGGATTTAGGTGGGATAGGCCATTGAAAGAAATAAGTCCTTATTTTCATATTTGAACTGTGTAGACGTGTTTAAGTCGAAATTCTAAACATAAATGTTTTTACATTCTTTGAATTTAAAACTTTATTTTCTACTTTCATCGATTTTGTTAAAATATTTAATTGAATTTACGTTTTTCAATATACACTAGTTTATTTATCTCTGTTTATAAGTTTAAACAATGTCAAGTTCTCAGGTTGTACTTCCAAACGTCTCATTCTCTTTATCTTATATCTCAGATCTTTTCAATAATTCAGAACTATTTTCTGCTTTGATTAGTAAACCCTGGAAAAGCCTATAAGTTTGGATACGTAAAGGAACTTTAAATGTAATTTCAAGGGACCCTCTATGCAAGGAGGACAATGCCCGATTCACAACGGGACCCATAAAATCATTAACTAATCAATGTTGAGAGACTTATTTTAATTAATCTACAAAAACGTTATATGTTTACAAGCTATTAAAAGTTGTAAAAATATTACTATTTACTCCTTAGAACTGACAGAAAATAAATACTTTCTTTCCAATTTTTGGAAACCGTTTTTAATGTCAAATATTCAGTAATGTCAAATTATACAGGGTGTCCCAATAAACATGGGAATTGAGAGATGACTTGAAAATCGTCTTTGATTTCCGATATTTGAGTAAATGACAAAAAGTGTGTCATATAAATTTAAATGTCCTCTGAGCTCATCAAACTAGCTATGGTCTGCCTTCTTTATATCTTTAAAATTGACGGAGATATCGAACATTTAAACAATTTTTTGTTATTGAATAAAAGGAAATCTGACAAATTTCTCGATAACTCTGTTAATTTTTTAAGGTTCGAAAATGGCAGACCACATTTTGGAATTCCCGAGACTATTCATTTTAGATGTTTATTGTTTAAACTGGGATACTACTAAAATTGTTTTCACGTTATAATGCCGCACAGAACAAAGACAATATTGAAGTCGTCACTTAATTCCCATGTTTATTGGGACACGCTGTACAAGTAACGCATTAGCTTTGTTGAGGTCAGACTGTACAGAGCTTACACCACGTTTTAGAAGGATTCAAATGGGTTTCAAGATATTTAAACACAGAGCTCTCTTTACTCATTGAACATTAACAACTGGACTAGTCAAAGGTTTAAAGAGCTCTCTTTACTCAATGAACATTAACAACTGGGCCAGTCAAAGGTTTAAACACAGAGCTCTCTTTACTTAATGAACACTAACAACTGGACTAGTCAAAGGTTTAAAGAGCTCTCTTTACTCATTGAACATTAACAACTGGGCCAGTCAAAGGTTTAAACAAAGAGCTCTCGTTACTCATTGAACATTAACAACTGGACTAGTCAAAGGTTTAAAGGGTACTGTTATAAATCGGGCATTGCCCACTTTGCATGAGGGGTCACTTTAAATTACGCTTACAGTCCCTTTATTATCTACAGGTTGAACCCTGATATCTATGGTGGATATTACCCCTGATATCTTTAGGTTGTATACTACCACCCCTGATATCTACAGGTTGGATATTAACCCTGATATCTTTAAGTTGTATACTACCACATATGATAATCTACAGGTTGGATACTAACCCTGATATCTTTAGGTTGGGTTCTACCCCTGATTTTTACAGGTTCGATACTAACCCTGATATCTACAGGTTGGGTACTAATCCTGATATCTATAGGTTGGATAGTAAACCTGATATCTATAGGTTGAATGCTAACCCTGATATCTAAAGGTTGAATGCTAACCCTGATATCTATAGGTTGGATAAAACTCTGATTTCTACAGGTTGGATACTAACCCTGATATCTAAAGGTTGGATACTAACCCTGATATCTACAGGTTGGATACTTATCCTGATATCTATAGGTTGGATAAAACCCTAATTTCTACAGGTTGGATACTAACCCTGATATCTATAGGTTGAATACTAACCCTGATTTTTACAGGTTGGATACTAACCCTGATATCTATAGGTTGAATACTAACCCTGATTTTTACAGATTGGATACAAACCCTGATTTCTATAGGTTGGATACTAACCCTGATATCTATAGGTTGGATAAAGCCCTGATTTCTACAGGTTGGATACTAACCCTGATATCTATAGGTTGAACTGGATTTGTTGAAAGGTCGAGGAGTAACCTCTCTGCTGGCAGGAAAGCTAGCCAATGGATTGACCGGATCGGTAGGAATCACGAAACCTCTTCCCAGGTGACATTCTCAGCATAAAGCAATAGCGCTAGTTGTTAGATGCTGCTAGTTACATCGCTCCATTGGGCCCTTGCTCTATAGATCATTTTCTCTGTAATTTGTCCTTAATCTCATATTGGATACCGCACAAAATTAAAGCTCTTAGAATAACTTGTGACGTCTTCCCAGGGTGAATTGATTAAAAAATATGTTAATAGTTTTGTAAAGTTCTTTATCAAGCAAAGAGCGTAGATATAAATGTGTAAAGTAAATGCAGATAATAATGAATATGTGCCACTTAATAATTGAACTCTGAACCATGATATTGGGAGATGAGTAATGGTTAAATTATTAAATTGTCAAACACCGCGGGTAGGTAAGAAAATATTCTATTTACTAGGTGAATTAGAATCATGTAAAAATGCTCATTCAAGCAAAAAGTTTCTAAAAATTAGGTTCAAATAGATCTTAACAATGATATTATCATTGTTATTGATAAAATAAGTCAAAACAATACAAAAAGATCAATTACATCACGCCTGAGGAATGAAAGGTCTTTGATTGTTTAAATTCAAACCTTTTTCTTTTTAAGTGAATAAAAAGACAAAGAATTAAGAAAATTTGAAATTTACAAAAATAAATAAAACAGATTGACTGAAATCAAGAAATCCTAAATCTATAAAACTCCGGACAAAAGATAAAAATTAATGGCACTAACAGGCACAGTACATCACAGTACAGTCCAGCTAGGGTGGATTAGTGAAATATGTACATGAATATATCATGTACACTCAGTTGTATAGTGTGGATAAGGAGAACTATTTTATGAACATATTATGCACAGTGTGGATAAATATATAATGTACAGGATGGATGATGAGAATACATTATGTACAGGGTGGATGAGGAGAATATATTTTGTACAGTGTGGATGAGGAGAATATTTTGTGAACAGGGTGGATATTATGTACAATGTGGATGAAATATATTATGTCCAGAGTGGATGAATATATATTATGTACAATGTGGATGAGGAGAATATATTGTGAATAGGGTGGATGAATATGTTGTGTACAATGTGGATGCATATATTATGAACAGGGTGGATGAGGAGAATATATTGTGTACAGAGTGGATGAAAATATTATGTACAGGGTTGATGAATATATTATGTACATGGTGGATGAATATATTATGTACAATGTGGATGAATATATTATGTACAGGGTGGATGAATATATTATGTACAGGGTGGATGAATATATTATGTACAATATGGATGAATATATTATGTACAATATGGATGAATATATTATGAACAGGGTGGATGAGGAGAATATATTGTGTACAATGTGGATGAATATATTATGTACTGGGTGGATGAGGAGAATATATTATGTACAGGGTGGATGAATATATTGTGTACTGGGTGGATGAGGAGAATATATTATGTACAGGGTGGATGAATATATTGTGTACAGGATGAATATATTATGTACAGGGTGGATGAATATATTGTGTACAGGATGAATATATTATGTACAGGGTGGATGAGGAGAATGAGGTTGAACCTGGAAGGAGAGGATCTGAAACTGACTCCGAAGGAACGGATACTGGATCCCCGGATATAGTTTGTAGACTAGGTTTAGCTAAAGACAAGGAAACAAGGTAATTCTAAACAATTACAGAATTTGTTCAGCGTGTCCCTGTAAACATGACAATACTGCAGAGACAACTTTTTTATATCATTCTTTTAAATTAATATTTATCATTATAAAGAATGAATACTCTCAGTAGATTTTTTGCTATTACACATTTAATATACCCGGATTTTTGAATTCGTGAAAAATGTTAACACATTTAGTCGGCAAAAAACATCAAAATTCAAAACTTTAAATTGTTGTTCTCTTTCATGAATATTTTTTCTTCATTTAGGAACTACATGCTCTACCATAGAGCTAGCCTAGACGAAGCTTTAGGTCAATGCGGGATCAATAAACATAATCTATATATAAATTTGGCTTGTATGTCTGTTTGTTTGTTTGTATCCAATAAACGTCAAAACGGCTGAACCGATCGGGCCCAAATTTTTTGTGGGACATCACGTGACCACAGGGAAGGTTTACGAATGATAAAAACTAAAAAAATGTGTTTTAAAGGTTTTTAATTTTATAAAAAAATTTGAATTCTAGAAAATCCGCGAAATTTTTTTCTTCTTTGTTTTAAAATGTAAACAAAGAGAACATGTTCACAATTTAAATAGAAGATGGGCACGAAGCGCCCTAAAAGCCTAGTAATTCAAATTAACTTTCATAAACGCCACGTCAAACTGAGATGAATTGCACGTAAAATTGAAAACGTTTATGTTTTGAATCATATCTTCATCTATTAAATATATATTAATAAAAAAAAATGTTTGAATTTCTAATATGGAACGGGATAAATTTGATTTTGTCCTAGCTACTTGTGCCTGACATGAGATCAAAACTAGAGAAGCTACAAGGTCAGAAAGTTGTACCAGTAATATCGCAGACATTTTACTTCTCCTTCTGTCTATGTGCAGTGACACATTTTATTTTTTATTCTTAAAGGGACTGTATATGAAATTTGAATTAGACTTTATTGAATGACCCGAGCTAAACAATTACAACGCTATACCCTTGATCCTACATCTAAGCACCATGTTAAATACATAAATTATAGTATTTTTTTGTTTTTAAAAACTGAAAAGTTATGATAAATGCTTTTTTGAAATACTATTTGTGGATTTATACAGCACAGACGAGCAGGAAATGATTAAATATCACAAAGTTTTGTTCCACACTGCGTCGTTACTCGTTAAATTACGTTAAAAGTCCTAAAAGAGTTTATCATTTTTAAAGAAAGTTTAAATGGAGTCTAAAAGTTTCACTGTATATCATAAAATTGTACCTATCCTCCTTTATTAATGATTTAACTTTTTCATCAACATTTTTATATATATACTTTCGATAATTTGTTAAGTCTTAAAAACCGCTTGCGAAATTTTTACAATTTATTAGGATAAGAAATCCACCAAATAACGTTCTATAATTATTTATTTTAAGGGCGTTTTTAATGGTAGTTTCAAAGCTTACCCATATCAGAATCCAAAATATGCACATCAATCTTTAGGCTTACCTTTAAACTGAAATAACTGTGGAGACTGAGGTATAAATGCTCAAATTGTTTGTTTTCCCATCCATGTTTTTCTTCTGTCAACATATTTATCTTAAAAAAGCAATATCTCTGTCCAGTCTTGTATATTTTACAAAATAATACATATGCTTCCTATAGAATGTATATTCAATATATACGCAATATATCTACAAATTATGCAAAATATTACATACTTAAATCTTACAATGGATTTAAATCTTTTGAAATGCGTCATAATTCTAATCATCTTCATAGCTGTTTATTTATTTTTGCGATTGCTGGGATTTACGTATAATAGTATAAAACCCATTGAAAAATTGTGAAGACGACATTTCATAAATTCTATCTGTCTTAGATATAATATATTCTATTAAAAACAATTCCATGACATTGTAATGTTCGTGTACCCAGTCTTTTATCCCTGGGGTACATTTTGTTAATGCAGACCAAAACAAATACTAACTGGAATTCTACACATTGGTTTCTATAAATTCGGTGAAAAATAACAGAATCTGGTCGCGCTATAAGTGCGCAAAGTTGAATCGGTAACTCCATGGGTCAATGAATGGTTCTATTATGTCGAATATATCCTGAATTCCCCAGGGATCTAAATATATCCTGAATTCCCCAGGGATCTAAATATAGAAACTTGTTTTGAGTGTGTTGTTGTGTAAACATCCCCCTCCTCTATAAGATGCAGATCCAACAATCTTAAATAATATATGTCTAATCTTGTATAATACATAAAATTCTTTGGAACTATAAATTATCAATAGAATCTACACACTCCAGGGTGTCCCGACAGATTAGGAATTTCGAGGGCAAATTGAGATTTTTGCATCTTTTAAAACTGCTTCTTTTCATGATAAATTGACAAAAAATTTAATTTTTTGACAAATTTCTTAATTTTTCTGTCAATTTTGACAACAATTTGAAAATCCTGAGTTTCCGTTGCTTTCCATGGCCATTTCACACTTCTGAGTCAGAATCTAATGAATTTGAGCCGCGTCTCAAATCCGTCAAAAATCGGTTTCAATTGAGCGCGGCTTAAATCTTGAAACATTAAATACAATTTTAAGTGGAACCAACCACATTTGAGCCGTGTCTCAAGTTTAAGTCGCGGTTCTAATTCCTTAAATTAGGCCTCTGGATTATCTCCAAGCTTTGACGCCAAAATGCGTATACAGGGTACTTTCTGTAGGCAAATTAGGTTTATGACGCTTGCACCGCTTAATGAACAATGAACATCTTGAGTCGGCGATAAGAACTTTTTTTTGCTGAAATGAACCGAACCATGGATCGATAATACAGGGTTACCCACAATGGATGAGACTTTAAAGACGATTTGAAACTCTTCAAATCTGATTCCAAGGCAGGGGTCCAATTCCATATAATTCGATTTCTGATCTGAAATATTAATTGAATGTTATCTAGAGGGCAGAAATTAAACATTTTATTTTAATATCAATCAATCAATTTTTGGGATCGAATTAGATGGAATTATATGGAACCCTGTTCCAAGGTTACATTAAGTCTTCTACCTTGAATAAAATCTTGTAATGGCTTTTTGAATGATTAGGCAAAGAATAATAAAAATAAGGAAACAGACGGTGTAAATTCTGTAAAGTCGTCTCATCCTTTGTGGGAACATCTTCTATTCGGGTTGTATTGATAATAAAACACCCTGTTGGTGGATATGGTTTCTCCATATGGATAGCTTATATCAACACCGGCATTAGGAGAATATTATGTTAAGAATACACCCCAGGCCGAATTTAAAGAATTTGAGCCGCGACTGAAGTTTGAGACGCGGCTCAAATTTATTTGATTTCACTGAAAGTTGTATTCAATGTTTAAAGATTTAAACCAGCGTTCAATTGAAACCGGTTTATGGCGGATTTGAGACGCAGCTCAAATTCATTAAATTTTGAGTCCTTTCTTAAATTCTAAGTCTAAACTTAATGTATCCCGCAGAGCTAAAAGATATAAAGAGGTTGAGAACTTCTTTCAAGCAGACTCATCAGGTATTTGTCTAGTTTATTTTAAAAAGTTTTTGATTAGTCAAATAACTAATTTCTTTATATAAATTCTAGCTTGTTGTTTTTAAGTCTCAAGAATTTAATTTTGGTAAAATCTTTAATTTTACCAAGATTTTGAATTATATTTAAATTTTCCTTTAGCTATAGAAGATTCATCTAAAATTTAGTAGGATTACATAACGCTTCCATTATCCAACAATTCAGATCAATGAGAAAATAATTTTTGAAGATTCTGTAACATTGATTACCTAACAAAGGCCGAAAGATTTTGATAAAAGTGTGTCATTTAAGACGACCATAAATAACATTTAATCTGTATTCTCAAGTAAACAAACAGGTCAAACACCCCTTAATAAAGAAGACCTTTATTAGAAAAAAGTATCTTTGCGACCAGTCCATCATGGTTGGACTAGGAATATTCAATTTTTACGTTGTCTCCACAAAATTCTCGTAAGTTAACTGTAGGCCTGCAGAATTTCCATCTTTTCAAACAAAATGACAAAAATATAAAACAAAAAACTCACCATCAAGATGGTCCATGTTCTTTAAACGTTTTTTATTTTAGATTTCTACTCTGGATGATATATCCTCTGAGGATGAAAGTCTAGGAGACAAGGTCTAGGGATGGGATGAGTGGTAAAGAGTGAATGACAATATATGCAGATTGGATTCAAGTTTGTAAAGTTTCGCCCCAATATTTCAGATGATCATTATTTAAACTTTTACAATTTATCTAGAATACTTGGTAGTAAGTTTTTTTTCTTCAATAATTTCGCGGAATTCAGATATGGTCTACACAAGTTACAGTATGCTCATGGGAGGAAAAGATATTTCTAGTTGACTTATTCCAAAAATTGTATTTCATCACTTATTAAAAAAATTTTTTTAAATTAAATCTTAATCAATTGATTTTAATTGATTACGATTTAATAAAGCTTAGCGCTCTAAAAATATTTATAGAATTTATTTAATAAGCCCGGTGCATAAACACCTTCATTATTTAAAGGGTTAGTTAATGGTTTCTTCATTTCTGAACATACATTTGATTAGATCTTTTTAATTGGTTTAATTAGTGAATTTATGTTATTGTATCACTGGTGTGATAATTAAAATATCTGAATCTTTTGTCTATGTTGGCCATTCAGTAGTTTAGCCATTCATCTAGTTTATTCTTGAAACTATTCAGGTTCTTTGCATTTTTCACATCTTGTGGGATTTCGTTCCACATATTAACACATCTTGTGCTAAAATTTTTTTTTTGATATATTTCAGTCTTTACAGCTGGAACTTTCAAATTTAAAGGATCACTTGACTGCCTGGTTTGAATACCCCTTCCTTCTTCTGGTACATACGCAGGGCTGAACCATTTGTTTTTGTCCACATGGTCGTGTCCATGTAGAATTTTCCAGACTTGGATCATATCTCCTCGCTTTCCTTTGTTCTCCAGGGAGATCAGACCAACCTCTTTCAGCTTCTCTTCATAGGTTGACCCAAAGAGTCCAGAGGTCATTGTTATTGCTCTTTTTTGAACCCTTTCTAGAGTTTCTTTGTCTTTTACTAGACAGGGATTCCAGGCTTGAATACAGTATTCAAGGTGGGGCCTGACATTTTGTACAATGAGATCCATACAGTTTTATTCCTATAGGAGAAAGATCTGGCCATCTGGCCTAAAATACTATTCGCCTTGGCTGCAGCAGTAGCACACTGTTTAGTGGGTTTAAGATCCTCCTGTATCATTACACCAACATCTTTCTCTTTGTCTGAAACCTCCAGATTTACACCATTCATTTGGTACCCATATCTTGGATTATTCTTTCCAATGTGTATAACTTTACATTTCGACTCGTTGAATTTCATCTTCCAGTCCTGTGCCCATTAGGTTAATGCATTTAATGAGCAATGAGCATATATCGATCTATTCATAGTTATTAATACTAATTTACATTCAATGTACCCAGGACAGTGAGGAGAAATGTTTAAATATCTTTGTCAATGTTTTACCATGTGCTTAATCGATTTGAATGAGGGGGGGGGGGGCATACGGCCATGAGCCCAGCAATATTCTGTTCGAACCCAGGTAGTTAGCAGAACCCTACTACCCTACCCACAGTGAACTAGGGTCAATTTAAATTCGAACGGACCGACCCCTTGTACATGCCTTAGCGAAGCGCGGCAAATACCGCCCTGCCCCTTTTCTCTGTCAGCCCGGTTTTAACTTTGATGTCGCGGTCAGACTTTTTCCAGTACCTAGTCTTTCATAAACCTGTTTTACCTACCCACTAGCTTAGTTCAGTGTGTGCCCGAACCCCGCGAATCCTTTTCGTGCCCACCAAGACTGTAAAAAAAACTTTAAAGTGAATTATAAATGTCATGATTTTATACTTTCTGAACATTTCGTGGGGTTAGGGCAGGGTTCTGCTAACTACCTAGGTTCGAACAGGATATTGCAGGGATTATGGCCGCATGCCCCCCCCCCCCTACCCTATTAGAATAACATTTATGTAATATGTATGATATGTAAATTTTTACCTATTTAATGAGCTTACTATTCAAAAACTTTGTTCTTTAACAGACAAAATTTCGTTTTGATCAAAAAGTAAATATTTGTATTTATTACGTGTAAGCGTTGTTTTTTTCCAATAAATATTCATAAAGGTTTGCAGCCGGTAAAACAAGAAGATGGTGAGACAGAAAACATATAATGTAATTAATTATTCATGTTTTATTTAAATCAAATTAAAGTATAATAAAAAAACATAATAAAGAAGATGAGCAGTATAGATTACATAATATTAATAACTAACTTTGGGAGGTAAATTTTCCAAGATTTTAGACTATTTGGTAGCATAAGAAACATGTTTTAAACATGCAGGTTATTTTTTATTAACTCATAGCAAAACTTTCACTTCTAGTGATAAGTAATATCCTGTTGAGTGATGATCACCGATACTTCTTTTCAGTGCTGTTGAGAAGTTATGAGAACACATCAACTAAGACTTTTGTAAACGTTGTTGAATTGTAGATACAAGATCAGCTCGCTTCACTTCAACCTGAATATTTTTAATGTTTAAAAACAAGGGTGATATCTCAATATTTCAATAGTTTAAATGTTGACATCTCAATATTTTAATAGTTGAAAGGGTGATATCTCAAAATTTTAATAGCTTAAATGGTGATAAATTGATATTTTAATAGTTAATAGGGTGATATCTCAATATTTTAATAGTTAAAAGGGTGATATCTCAATATTTAATAGTTTAAAGAGTGATATATCAATATTTCAATAGATTAAAGGGTGATATTTCAATATTTTAATAGATAATGGGTGATATCTCAAAATTTTAGTAGTTTAAATGGTGATAAATTGATATATTAATAGTTAAAAGGGTGATATCTCAATATTTTAATAGTTAAAAGGGTGATATCTCAATATTTTAACAGTTAAAAGGGTGATATCTCAATATTTAACAGTTTAAAGGGTGATATCTCAATATTTTAATAGTTAAAAGGGTGATATCTCAATATTTAATAGTTTAAAGGGTGATATCTCAATATTTAATAGCTTAAAGGGTGAAATCTCGATATTTTATTAGTTTTTAGGTTATATCTTGATTGTTTAATAGTTTAAAGGGTGATATTGTAGATGAAGAAATCCCCGAACGAGAATTATAAAATCCGCAAATCAGTGGTGTCGATCTTGGAACAAGAGAAGACCTACTCAACTTCCTCTCCTTTATTACGCTCGTTATTTATCATTTAATCATATCAAGAAGCAATTAATGTACTTAAGTGGTGTCCCTTGACAAAAAAATGAACCATGACTGAAAACGCAGCCTCCTGGTCGGAAACAGTTCAAGAGTTGGACGAGGATAACAATCTCAAGCTTAAACTTCTCATCCACAAATTCACTATTCCTTCACCCTACAATCAGCTACTCCTGGAGCTAATAAACTAAACCTTAGCTACTCCTAGAGCTGATAAGCTAAACCTCAGCTACTCCTAGAGCTAATAAGCTAAACCTCAGCTACTCCTGGAGCTGATAAGCTAAACCTCGACAACTCCTGGAGCTAATAAGCTAAATCTCAGCTACTCCTGGAGCTAATGAGCTGAACCTTAGCTACTCCTGGAGCTAATAAGCTGAACCTCAGCTACTCCTGGAGCTACTAAGCTAAACCTTAGCTACTCCTGAAACCAATAATCATAACATCAGCTACTTATGAATATCCAATTATCCAATGTGAGCACTTATATATTTGAGGGTAAAGGCTTGAACCCTCGAATTAAAGGTATTCCTGCGGGATATCGAAGAGGAGCTAACCCATAGGTCTGTATAAAATGGAGATAAGTGCTTGATCCCAATATCAAGACAAAAAAGTTTTGACTTATTGGTTTCTAGCCAAAATAGCTTTACTTTACAAATCGACAGTTAATAGATATGTCTGAGTCATCATTTACGAGTGTATTAAAACAAATTGGGAGTTATAAATTATATTTACATTTTTTGGTTCACTCAGTTTGGTATTACCAATTTACAAAAAGTGAGTGGGGAGGGGGAGGGAGAGGCGAGCTGTAAATTGCAGAATACTAATTGATAGTTCGAAACAAGTTTCAGAAACGTGTTAGATTGTTAAAAAGAGTCAAAAGTTTTTAAAGGTGGGATTCTCTATATAGTAATTTCATATTTCATATTTTCATATTTCATGGTTTCTTTTTACTGGGGTAAGAAGCCCGCACACACTTTGCTGCGGTGGGGTTCTTTCAGGGGTTTCAGTTGCACAAAAGAGCGTTTTTCTTCCATAAGGAGGTCCATAACCAGGTTCCCCCCCTTGCTGAAAAGGGGAAAGGAATGGAGAAGAGGAAACAGGGAGATGCAAAAATATAGATATATATAGATATATACCTCCTCTCTTGAACTAATATCCCTGTACCATAAATATTATATTTATTATCTAGTATTTACCTCCTCTCTTAAACTAATATCCCTGTACCATACATATTATATTTATTATCTAGCATATACCTCCTCTCTTGAACTAATATCCCTATACCATAAATATTATATTTATTATCTAGTATTTACCTCCTCTCTTGAACTAATATCCCTGTACCATAAATATTATATTTATTATCTAGTATTTAAGTCCTCTCTTGAACTCATATCCCTGTACCATACATATTATATTTATTATCTAGCATATACCTCCTCTCTTGAACTAATATCCCTGTACCATACATATTATATTTATTATCTAGCATATACCTCCTCTCTTGAACTAATATCCCTGTACCATAAATATTATATTTATTATCTTGTATTTACCTCCTCTCTTGAACTAATATCCCTGTATCATACATATTATATTTATTATCTAGTATTTACCTCCTCTCTTGAACTAATATCCCTGTACCATACATATTATATTTTTTATCTAGTATTTACCTCTTCTCTTGAACTAATATCCCTGTATCTTACATATTATATTTATTATCTAGTATTTACCTCCTCTCTTGAACTAATATCCCTGTAAGCATATACCTCCTCTCTTGAACTAATATCCCTGTACCATAAATATTATATTTATTATCTTGTATTTACCTCCTCTCTTGAACTAATATTCCTGTATCATACATATTATATTTATTATCTAGTATTTACCTCCTCTCTTGAACTAATATCCCTGTACCATACATATTATATTTATTATCTTATATTTACCTCCTCTCTTGAAATAATATCCCTGAGTTTAACAATACCAGCAGCTATTTCAGATTCACCGATAACCACGGCCTGAAACAGATTTATTAATTACGTAATTAGATATTAACATTGTACGATACACAATTTATTTCAGTTTTCCTGATATTTTAAGATGTATATACATTATACAATGGTGTATTTACTGGTGTTTACTTTCAAGACTAGATGAACACCTTAAATATGACAATCTGAGGGATAATTATGGATTTTTGGACGTTAATACAATATCTTACGTAAATCTAAGTTATATTTTACGACAAGGAGCTTCTGGAATTTGGATACCTCTATAAGCTCGTAATAACCAAAAACTGAATGTGACAATTCTAGAGTGAAAATGAACGAATAAATTTTGATAAATAGGTATTTAAATTTGATCACTATTGGAAAAGCCCATCAGTTTAAGAGATTCCTTAAAGAAAATAATTGGTCATTATTATTTGATAATTTGTATTTACTGACCAGTGGTATTCCTGAATCCTCGCAGAACTGAAGTTGAGTCAGCATCTTAGGATTCTTCTTGTACGAGTGCTCAGCACTAAATAATATTCAATCATTCGATGCTAAATATCTTTAATGTTGATTATTAACTGTACTTCTGAGGGGGGATTGTAAAATGTCAATGAAAAGTCGATAGGGTTTTATAAACCAGGCTCCATTTTAGAAGCAATTTATCCTTTATCTTTTATTCCCATTATTCAATAAATAGTACAAATATATTTTGGCTCTTATCATGGTATTGAATTGTATTTACTTTACTCCCCTGATTTACATAGGATTAAAATAGCTAAAAACTGCAACTAATTTTCGATTGCTAAGAATTTTACAAAGTTTTTATCAGCATTAAATTTCAACAGTGGGACAGGGAAATAATAATAGAGTTATAAGAAATAGAGTATAGGTGTACAAGCGGAATCAGGTAGATGTAGACTTTAAAACCTTTTTTCAGACTAGAAGCGCTCTGTCCGCTTAGAAGTTAATACAGGTATATTTTATTAGTTTTCTACAAACTCAGCGACATTAACGCCAGAATATTAATTAATTAATTGTGTACACATAACATTATGATTTATGACAAGACACAAAGGGGAGGGGGTTCCAGCTAACCCAGAAGGGGTGGGGTGATGACGAATCTATTTTTTTATATTGAAATAATAAATATTGCATCAAACTTTAACTTTTCAAGTTCAGAAAAATAAACGAACCTGATACCGGCCTCCCAGAGTTCGGAAACAATTTTAATCCTTTCCTCGGTCAAATTCTTTTGTGCAGTCACCACACAGACCTAGAAATTGTAATTTTATTAAATACTTAATTTTAACATTAAAAAGTCTAATTACAACCATATTTAGGTAACAATGTGTCCATTATTTTACTTCAACCATCAAATCAAATTATTTATTGAGCCACGACTTTAATTAAAATCAAATTTAAAAAAAAAATGAATATACATTTTTATTGTGGCGGGGGAGCTAGAAGATAAACGCAGAACAATGTTTTTATACAAATTTCTGCAAGTGTGGAGATCGAACAAAAATGGCGAAGTGTAACCAAGGGCGTACACAGAGATCGAACAAAATTGGCGAAGTGTAACCAAGGGCGTACACAGAAATAAATTTTTAACCAAAATCTAAAATTAAATATTTTTTGTTTAACAGTTTTTAATAAAGCGATGAAAAAATGTTTTTCTTATCCTACATTTTATCGAGAAAAAATATATCCCAGAATTATAAAGTAAGGGTTGAGTACAAGACAGTACTGTATATTTCAAAAATCATTCCCCCCTCCCCTTTTAAAAATCAATATTTTCTCCACTAGTTCGGTATATTCCGCTGAATTAGGGTAAATCAAAAAAATGTTGTGCAATAAGTAAAACCGTTAAAAAAGTTAAAAACTCTTCCATCTTGATTTTAAATTTTTTGAATTCTTTAAAATATAAACACTTGGGACAAGACTGACTTACCTGGGTGTGAACAGTTCTAATCTTAGTTGACTCCTTACTGAGATTTGCTTCCATAATGGAGAACAGGCGTTCTATTCCGATACTAACCCCAACACAGGGCACACTCCTACACGTTTATAGATCAATACAGTTTTATTCCGATACTAACCCGGGCACACTCCTACACATTTATAGATCAATACAGTTTTATTCCGATACTAACCCGGGCACACTCCTACAGGTTTTTAGATCAATACAGTTCCATTCCGATACTAACCCCAACCCAGGGCACACTCCTACACGTTTATAGATCAATACAGTTTTATTCCGATACTAACCCGGGCACACTCCTACACGTTTATAGATCAATACAGTTCCATTCCGATACTAACCCCAACACAGGGCACACTCCTACACATTAATAGATCAATTATTATTATTATTAACAATCAACCTACAGACAACGTATTACGACCTGTAGGCTGGAACACATTGAAGATAACCCCAACACAGAGCACACTCCTACATGTTTATAGATTAATACAGTTCTATTCCGAAACTAACCCTAACACAGGGCACACTCTTACACATTTATAGATTAATACAGTTCTATTCCGATACTAACCCCAAGACAGGGCACACTCCTACACGTTTATAGATTAATAGTTCTATTCCGATACTAACCCCAAGACAGGGCACACTCCTACACGTTTATAGTTCTATTCCGATACTAACCCCAAGACAGGGCACACTCCTACACGTTTATAGATTAATACAGTTCTATTCCGATACTAACCCAAACACAGGGCACACTCCTACAAGTTTATAGATCAATACAGTTCTATTCCGATACTAACCCCAACACAGGGCCCACTCCTACATGTTTATAGATCAATACAGTTCTATTCCGATACTAACCCTAACACAGGACACACTCCTACAAGTTTATAGATCAAGACAGTTCTATTCCGATACTAACCCCAACACAGGGCACACTCCTACACATTAATAGATCAATACAGTTCTGTTCCGATACTAGCCCCAACACAGGGCACACTTCTTCATGTTTATAGATTAATACAGTTCTATTCCGATACTAACCCCAACACAGGGCCCGCTCCTACAAGTTTATAGATCAATACAGTTCTATTCCGATACTAACCCTAACACAGGGCACACTCCTACATGTTAATAGATCAATACAGTTCTATTCCGATACTAACCCCAACACAGGGCACACTCCTTCACGTTTATAGATCAATACAGTTCTATTCCGATACTAACCCCGACACAGGGCACACTTCTACACGTTTAAAGATCAAATCAGGGAGGAAATAAAATGTTTAGGATCGGTTTCATTTAGATATGGATCCGGGTTGTAAAAGAGAGAATTTCGGATATTCTGAATTAATTTCTAAGTGTAAATGTAAAAATCTCAACATTATTTATATTCTTTTCCAACCCAAACTCCACATTCTTTTGTATTACAAAAAACTAGTGTTAACTCAGAGTTAAATTTGAAAAAATGTGTTTCATTTTGTTACCTGTTTTTAGCATCAAACATACCGACTAGTCCATCGTATCTTCCTCCTCCTGCAACGGAACCAACAGTTATAGATTCTCCACTTGCATCTGTTGCATCCTCCACCAGGACCTGAATACAACAGTTAAAGATTCTACACTAGGATGTGTTGCATCCTCCACCAGGACAAGAATATAACAGTTATAGATTCTCCATTTGCATCTGTTGCATCATCCAACAGAACCAGAATATGACAGTTGTAGATTCCCCACTTACATCTTCTAATTTAAAAATAATATTTTCTTATGATGACTTTCTATTATTCTGACACATAAAATTAGCCGTTTATTTTTTGCTGTTGGATAAAAACCCTCAGATCCAGAAGGTATAGCAAGATTGAGTACACTAGTGCGTACTTAATATTTTTTCCAGTTTTGTCTATCAGGGTTAAATATTCAAAAAATACATGTAAATAAATGAACAAAAACATTAAAGTTTTCCCATATTACAGGGGACATTAGTTCCAAAACTAACACTTGGCCCATTTCTGACACTGAGTGTTATTATTAGTTTAAAATTGACATTTATTGTTTCAAAATATAGTTTTAGTAATTTCTTATAAACATATGGTGTAATTTTGTTCTACTCGACTTGGATTTAAAGATATATACTCTTGAAAAAGATAACTTTGCAGATTTGGCCCATAATGGGCCAAATTTTAGTTTTGGAACTAGTATCCCCTGTTAAATTAACAGGTTCCCTTTGTTAACATGTAAGCTGGATAGAAAGCAATGCTGCACTAGTATGTCGTCTGCATTATATTGGTTAATAGGAAAGGTAGGAAAAGTAGGTCAGACAGGATCAAAATGACGGATTGGAAAAGAAGGACAAAAAAATTGACACGTTGAAAATGACGGACGGATAGAAGAAACGGACAGGAAAATTAAAAAGGATGGAATATGAATTTAAAAATGATTACCGCTTCATAAATAACTCCAGTGTAGTAATCTAATCCTCGGGCTAAACTTAAATCAAAGGAAACAGATTCTCCACAGTTGTACAACTCACAATACCTAAAAAAGATTCATTACAGGGTAATACAGGGTATAATGTTATATTATTCCCCCCCCCCCGGGCAAGATTTTTGATGATCTAGGGGGAAAAATGAAAAATTAGACATTAAAAAAGCATGGGGGGGGATTTTCAAAAGAGGGGGAGGGGTTATTATTTCTCAAGAAAGTATACTATTTCAATACAATACAAATCATTTTCAATAAACCACAATGCAGATAATTTTTATGTAAATTAACTTATGATGATTTAATATTCAAATCAAACTTTACGAACAGTTGAACTATAGTGGTCTAAATACAAAATATATATTTAAATCATATATTCCAATTCAGTATCCGGTACTGAAATGCTACATATTTAGAACGGTCAGTGCTTACACCAATGAATCAATGAATCGTCAGGTACAAAAGCTGTATATCACCATATTAGTAACTAAAACTGTATTCATATATGTTGACCATTGTTCTAATTAGGAATTAGTTACCATGTAAAGCGACAAAGTTAAAGTAACAAATATAGACATTTGAATCGAATCGAATGGTTCTTAAAAATCCCCGACACGAAATATGATAAAAAATAACTAAATTATTTTTATTATTGACCTGAGTAGAAGCTTAATATCCTCTAATCCCTGTTTAGCGGTCTTGCTGTTGATAAGATCTGTAGTATTTAACTTCTCAACCAGCTCTTGTCCACCAGACATACGAACATACTCACCAATCCTAATCAATATCAGAGTTAGTAAGGAGATCAGCCTAAAGTAGTTCAACTACTTCAGAAGAAGTAGTTCAACCTACTTCAGGAGAAGTAGGAAGAGTTTAACTACTAACCAGATAGATCAATATTAATTAAAAAATAGTTAAACTGGGTGCGGATAGTTGTACAACTCCTCCAGGGTTGCCAAGCGTGCGCTATACATTGTTCAACCACCTTTCGCTATTCATAAAAGTAACAATGACATTGAAGGTATAGTCGACATGGGATAAGATCCGGATGGTTGAGAGATCGACCATGGCCATCAAAAATAATTTTTTTTTTCTGTAAATCTGAGATGAGAATAATAATGAGATGTACTACCTATCTGCTGCAGCAGCATCCAACCCCTTCTCCTCTGTCATCTCCTTCCTGACCTCCTCCCAGGGAGACTTGTCCAACTTGTCCACGGCAGAGCAGATAGTTCGGAACATTATGGGAGGAACACCACAAACCTAATTTACAGGTTTTAGATATAAAAATTGAAGAAGTGAAATAAATTATATTTTAACTTTTACATAAATTAATTAAAAATAGTTGAAATAATTACCTCAAAAATACCGTCCAGAATCATTCTGTGATTTACTTTGATGACAAACTTCCCAACATTGACGGAAGTAAGGATTTCGTTGACGATTTTAACACACTCGGCGTCCGGAAGCATGGGGTCATAAGCGCCAGCAATATCAAAATCCTAAATCATCAAAATAATAAGAATTTGGTGTAAGTTACGGAGTGAAGTTTTTGCTTAGAATTCATTATATGTTGGTGGAGCGGATTTTGATTTGATGGATCCAGATACACGAATTTGGAAAATTAAATTGATTTTGAATTAAAGTATGTTGTAAATGAAAAGTAACTAAAATTAAACCAGATTTAAAAACCCGATGTGAATTCTTAAAAAAAGCCAGACAATTTTGGGAGATTTTCAAAAATATAAAGTTAAACAAAATTCTAATAAATTTTTTAATTAATCTTGGTAGTTAGTCGGATGAAGATTTGTAGGTACAAGATCTGGGTTTCTATTACTTTTAATCATTGTTTTGTACCTCAAAGAAAATTACAAATAATTGGCTCAATTTCTATTTACACTATAGATTGTACAATGTACATGCATATACAAATTCAATTTACTTACACACTGATAGAACTCACGAAGACGACCACGAGCAATACTAGGATTATCACGTCTGTACACCTTAATATAAAATAAATAAAAAATTAACAAATGAAATTTTAAATATTTACATTATAAAAATGAAGTATTGACAAAAGGATTTTGTTTTTATATAGGGCCAGAGGTATATATTTTGAATTTTCAATGCTCATGGAAAAATTAACTATGAACTGGGTTTTTCGCCCTTTAAAATACTTTTTTTAAATCATTCATTTCAACCAACTAAGTAAAAAATATGTTTCTTCTGCTTATTCAAATGTATTCACTGGCGTATAGTGAAATAAACTGACATTTTACAAGTACTACTTTATACACTACCCCCCTTCCCAAATATGAAATGACAGTTTTAGTAAATAGTGAAAGAGGAATTTGCTAACTAATTTTAGTTTAGATTTAACGCCTTTTTTCAAAAATATAAGATTTTTGAGTCTCAGAGTAACGGGTTTCCAAGAATTTAAATAAACGTCGAATATAATTTGAAATGGTGTCGGACGATAGTAAATTTGATTCGTATTTGTTCTTCACTTTGCCCGAACCCTTTACTTTGAATGCCTAGGTTTTTATCTGTATTTACCAAACTTGTCAAGTTGATACAATTCAAAACAACCAGAGAGGTCAGAACTTAGGATTTATTATTCCTTGGATCAAGCAGTTATTGGTATTTTTAAGGATTAAACAAATTGCGCTTGGATAATGGATATATATTAAATTTAAAGTTGCCAAACTTGATATCGAGATCAAGCGTTGAAGTTTAGCACAAAAGTTTCGACCTCTCATGGATTTAGGTCTGTAAATATACTATTTACCTACCTTTGCAATGTGATATCGTTTAATATTTGCTACTTTGTTCATGGCGCAGTAGCGAGCAAAGGGTACTGTCAGATCATATCTAATCAAAGGGTAAATAAAAATGTGTATGTTTTAATCTGAGACAAAAAAAATAAGATAGTAATGAAGAAAAAGTTTTCAAAGTGACGATTTTCAAGAAGGAGTCCGAAATTGACGAGTGAAATCTAATGTTAATCTTTCAAAATTTGTCCATGCATTGTAAATTCAGTTAGTTGGTATTTGAAGATGAACCTTCAAATATTTTAATTGGGTAAATTTTAAAATTTGTTAAAATTTAGAAAAACGAGATATTTCAGAAAAGCTTTGTAACTGAAATTCAAATAACTAGTAATAATAACTATACTTATACTGTGGTTAATCATTTTTCATAAAAAAAATTATGTTTAAAAATTATGAAAATATTATAGGGATCTAATTAAGAACATACCTCAAAGCAAGGATCTCCCCACCTTGAAATATGATTGATTTCATGATTATTTTATGTAAAAACTTTTCAAGAAATAGACCAAGAATAATATTTTATGTATCATATTTTATGTGAATTTGATCAAATATTCCACTTGTTTCACCCAGAATAGAAAAGCATACAAATATTGAATACTCAAACGTCTTTAAGAAAAGATGTCATTTTGTCAGTCAAAATTTTGTTTTTGTGACGATAAAATTAAATAATTTTAGAATGGACTCAGAAAATAATACATCACTGTTTAGATATAAGAAGAAAATTTGAGGAAGAAGTTCAACAAGAAATTAAATATTTGATTGATTGATTGAGTACAGTGAAATCAATAATTTCCTTGATCCTTGAGATCGTAAATAAGCTTTGAATCTTCTCCATACTTTCCGGTCAGTACATCCTAAAATATTAAAAATTACATTTCAATAAAAGATTAAAGGGAGGGTGAGTTTGACCAATTTGAAAACATTTGGGACTCCTCTCTTCATTTTTTGAGGAATCTGAATGAAATTTTGCCTATGTGCATAATTTGTGCTTATTCTAAGAAAACTAAATAAAAATTTGGAAAAAATATTTCCCCCTTTTCCCCATTTTTCCATGTTTTGTAAAGCTTTTTCATCAAAAAGTCTGGTTAAACAACCAGCTAGATGCTTTAAACACCTACCTGTTAGTCAAGAATTTCATTACTAACATAAGAACTAAGTTCAAGGTTTATAAGATCACTTTTCTCCCTATTTTATCATATATAATCAGGGTGGCCAAAACTTTTTTGAAAAAATCCGTACATTTTCAGAAGAAATCCGTACAATCCGTACAATTTTCGGAAAAAAATCCGTACAATCCGTACATTTTTTTTTAAAAAATCCGTACATTTTTTAAAATCCTTAACATTTTTTGTTGATTCTAATTTTTAAAACTGTTTAGATCGGTGTGAATTAGGCCATTTAACAAACAAACGAAGTTATAATTAGAAAGAGTGGAGTGTAGATTTAGGATCTAATATAATTAAAATTAGCGTGGTACAGGGGTTGCACACTCAATTAAAAGAAAGTTAATATTAAACTAAAAATGAAAATATTTACAGATAAACAGAAGAAACCTGTGAGGATGTTCTCAGATCTGATAAAGAGACAGATAGATAGATAGATAAACAGACAGACAGATAGACAGATAAATAGACAGAGAAACAGATGGACACATACACATATAGATAAATAGAGAAACAGATGGGATATATAAACAGATAGATAAAAAGATAGATAAACTGACATGCAGATAGATATACAGATGGATAGACAGATAGCTAGACAGATAGCTAGACATATAGCTAGACATATAGCTAGACAGATAGCTAGACAGATAGCTAGACAGATAGCTAGACATATAGCTAGACATATAAATAAATAAATAAAATGGTCAACCATCATCCCATGGGAGTCAGGGTTAAGCTCTCATCAAACCGTACCACCATATTGGTTGGCAGGGCGTCACTGGTCCATGTTTCAATGAAACAAAGTGTGGAGGGCCAGGCAAGAGTCAAGTTAAAAGGCGGGCTACCTGAAAACCGTTAGCACACTCTCCATTGCCTGACTGGTCCTGTCGGTACCAGCCAGTATAGAGGTTTAGAATTAAATAGCAGATAGATATATATGGGGCAGGTAATAAAGGTAAAATAGTAGAATCATAAAATATGAAGATAAAAATAGAAGGAGCCAAACCCATTACCTTTATTCGTCCTCATTGATACCAGCATGAACTGATGCCATCCAGGCCTCGATAAGTACAGCCAGCTTTCTGCCCCGGTTTAGCAACACTCCCTTGTCAGCCCAGTCACCCCCAAGATAAGCCCTTAGAACTGCCTGATTACCATGAAGCCCTCTGGCCTTCGCTAAAGACACATACCTAGAAACACCTAGAGCCCTTCTTTGGGCCGCCACCGCTGGGCACCTTAGTACGACATGTGACTCACCTAGTTTTACCTGAACACCTAAGTCCTCACAGAATGGGCATAGCTCATACATTAGACCATACCTATTCCTATATCTATTTCCCAGCTGGGCATTACCACCTCGTATTTGACTCAACAATTTACTAGCCTTGGAATCATTTACATGCGCCTGTAGATGGAACCACTTCCACGGTTGGGGTAGCGCGCCCACTGAGGGATGAGACCTCTTTACCTTCATCACAAACTTAACTGCTCTGTCCGCCATAGCCTTGACTAGATCCTGTCTCCTTTCAAACTCTGAAATGACCCCAACATCCCTTTGAATGCTCATCCAAGACTTAACCCATGGATCACATCTGTTGTCAAGAAGCTCGTCCAGTACCTTGATAAGGAATTCATTGTGTTTTGACCTGACTATTGACCCAATAAACAGAGCTTGACGTTTCTGAATCCTGTGTTCCATAGGCATAAGACCCGCGTCCACCCATGTCATTACCCGTGAAGTAGCGGCAGGGACCTGAAGGATGAACCTTCCAACCATACACTGAATTCTCTCCAACTCCTTTATTGTACTCCTTTTAAACACGCACACCTCAGCACAGTACAAAATTGCCGGAATGGCACAGGATTCCCACAATCTCCGAGCCACAAGAGATCTGTCCAGCACCCCCCGTGACAAGTTCATTATTGCATAGGCCTGGTTTGTAGCTCTGGGGACCACCGTCCTCTCATACTCCCTAATCATACCCCTGCCTCGGACCTGCATTTGAACCCCCAAATACTTAGACACCAACACCTCCTCCAGTGTCCTCCTCTACTTTCCATGACCCCACATACCCAGTATTGGTAAGTATGTATGTTTTAGAAGATGACAGCTTCATCTTCATGTCCGTGCAAAACTGTGACACAATTCTCAACAGTTTATTCATACCTCTCTTTGGGGATCTTGACAAAAGCAATAAGTCATCAGCAAAGAATAAGGCAGTTAACACCTTCTCCTTTAACTTCACCCCAAGCTTTGTGTCATCAAGAGCTACTCCTAATGATGCAACAATTAGAGCGAACAGCATAGGGGATAAACTACATCCCTGTTTCACCCCCTGTGTGAAATAGACAGGCTCTGATAACCCTCCCTTAAGACTTACCTTGACGCAATCATTGAAATACATGGCTCTAATTATGGCAACCACTTTACCTCCGAAACCTATACTCCTTAACTTGGTGTACAAAAGCTCCCTACATACCGAATCATACGCTTTGGCAATGTCACAGAAAGCAAGTGAAATCCGTTGCTTTTTCCTTTTGGCAGACCTCAAAGCGGCCAGGATTAGGAAAACACAATCTGAAGTCGATCTGTTTTTCCTGAATCCGTATTGCACTGAACCATAGAATCCCTCTCTCTCACAGATTTCGTTCATGCGTTTGTGCAATATCTTGGTAAGCACACTCAAGATTACACTGGACACTGTTAGGGGTCGTTTCTTAATAACCTCCAAAGATGGTTCCTTTTTATCAATGAGAGTCATTTTGCCAATCTGCAGGTCCTCTGGGACCACCCCTGTCTTTAAAACTTCATTGAACATTTTAGTTATCAAGCAGACCATACTACGACTAGCGGTTTTAAGCATAGTTGTTGACACCATATCCAATCCTGCTGCCCTGTTAAGCTTTAGGCCTTTAATGGACTCCTGCACATCTCTTACTGACACCGGATTACACACCTCTTCTTCATATTCAAATTCCCCCCGCACAGTAGGGATCCACCTTTCGTAGTTACAACCATTTTTGATCAGAACTTCTTTTATTACCTGCTCCCCCCTGCAAGTGAATAATTTTGACTTTATCCCTAGGGAAACCTTAACATATAGCTAGACAGATTGCTAGACAGATAACTCGACAGATAGATAGACAGATAGCTAGACAGATAGCTAGACAGTTAGTTAGACAGATAGCTAGACAGATAGACAGATAGATAAACATTTTCTCAAATGAACACTTCTGGAACATATTCTCAAATGAACACTTCTGGGACATATCTCGAAAATTATTAATGAATTTTTATCATCAATTGAAACATTAATCAATCTAATATTATTTAGAATGGAGAAAATAAGTTAGACTAACTTCATTTTGATGAGAATTTTTTTTTTGAAATTTTCATGAAAAATTTGCTGAAATGAGTGAAAATTAATAAAAAACGGTGTATTTCCAGGATAAAAATCCGTACAATCCGTACAATTTGAAAAAAATCTGTACAATCCGTACATTCCGTACAAATTAGGGTTACAAAATAAAAAATCCGTACAATCCGTACATTTTGGCCACCCTGTATATTCCATCTTTGCTACTATTTTCAGATTTTCTGGATTCATTAATTTATGTTTCATCGAAAATTAAAAAATCTTTTGTACACAGGCCTCAATTGGATAGTATTTTTGTAAAACAAAATAAAAAAGTTTCCCCTTTTCCCCATTTTTCCATTTTTTAAAAGCTTTTTACAAAAAAGTCTGATTAAAATACCAGCAAGATGCTTTAAACAACTACCTATTAGTCAAGAATAAAATAGGGTGAAAAGTAATCTGAGAAACCTTAAACTTCGTTCTGATGTTAGTAATGAAATTCTAGACTTACAGGTAGGTGTTTAAACACCTAGCTTGTCTTTGAATCTGACTTTTTGGTAAAAAAGCTTTGGAAAACATGGAAAAATTGGGGGGTGGGGGGGGGGGCCGAATATTGTTTTCAAATTATTCCCAAAGACAATATTTCATTCAGATTCCTCAAAAAATTGGGATTGTTAAGCTTTAGTTCACATTATAATTCTCAAAAACCTTTTTGTAGTTCAGGAAAACAAATAATTTCGGAAAATAAATAGTGGTGGACAACGTATTTAGAATAAAAATAATGTGGGAATATATTTAGGAGTAAGACAGAGATTTCCTAAATTATTGGTGAAAAAAAATAAGCATGGTTTAATTAAACTTTACCTTGAGTTCAAAGACCGGGGTTTCTATAGTCTCAGCTCCATGAAGTTTAAAGATTTCAATAATTCGGTTGAAAACCTTGAACAAAATAATAAATTAGATCGGAAATAAAAAAAAAGTAAATTCATTATTTCAAATCAAATTTAAGAATTTGAAATTTTGCTAAATTAGTTTAAAGGGCTTCAATAACAATTCTGGAAATAAATTAACCTTTCTAATTTTCAGGTTTTATTTTTAGCTTATATTTCATAATATTCATTTTATAAGATACAGGAAAAAAAGAAAATATACCCAAAAAGGACAATTCTAAATCAATAAAAAAGTCAGTGCGGAAAAACCAAACCATAAATATTCTGCAAAACCATCTTACATACGAATATGCATAAAAGAAGAAATTTCGATAACCTATCAATGCAGATTTATAGTGTTATGTAATAACGCTGGATTACTACATACTAATTACTAATTAGGGATTCTTAGGGTAGTTGAACAACTAGGGTGGGGNATCCCTGGTTCCCTTGGCGGTTTTCAGGATTAGTTTACCCCCTCCACCTCCACCTCCGGGCTGACCCTATAAAAACAATATTATAGGATTGAAGTATCCGACGTTGCCCGTGGAATAAAAAAAATCGAATTTTGCCAGTGGTATTTCAAAGTTCCCTCAAAAAATGTCATATATAATAAATGAGCTAAGAGCTTTATTACATATATAATCTCCTCCACTGTTGTTTCTTAAGATTTTTAGGGTCTTTAAGAGACTGTAAGTGTAATTTTAAGAGAATCTCCTTGCAAAGATGGCAAAGCCTATCGCCCAATTCACAACGGTACCATTGAAACTTTTATCTGGTCAATTATGTGGAACATATTGTCGTTTCTAAATTTGAAAAGTTTTTTATACTTTTAATTGCTTTATATTTTCCCGCAGTAGAAATGCCTATATCATATTGTTACTTAAAGGTATCACTTGAAATTACACTCCAGTCTCTTTAAGATATTTTTAAAGATATAAATATTAGATTTTAAGTCTGACCTTACTCCCTCCATCATCTCCTCCAAGCTCCAGTTTCAAAGCTTTTAGTTTCTTCACTTCTTCATCAATCTACAATTTTAGCTTGATCATTTCTAGCAACTTTTATTAGGCATTGTTTATATATTTAATTTATTGTTCTTAGTATAATAATTTTCCTCTGTACTCTCTCAGGTATTATTTAATAATAAACCACAAAAATGTCTAATTCACTCCCCCCCTTTTCTTTCCAAATCGTCGAAAACAGTTCAATGTTAGCTTTGTTGATAATAATTTCAACAATGCACACACTATTGCACAATCTACAATATTTTAGTTTTCATATTGTCGTTTTATGTACATTGCACACAGCCAATCTTAGAAGCAATATTTATATACAAACGCATGCAAAAAAGGGACTGTGCAAGTATTCGTATTTTTGCAGTTACATTCGGAAAAATACTGCACAGTCCCATGGGGCAGGATAGGAGGGAAGTATCTCATATCTCCGCCCCATCATTTTATTTTTTTTTATTTAAATTTTGAATACACACAACACTAAATTTCTAGAAACTGCGTGGACTCTAACTAACCTTGGTACCTAGGAACCGGGAGAGAATCGGCGAAAATACAGAAAACCTTCGTAGAACAAATTTTTTCAAAATGCAACAAAAATTCAATATTTGCAATGCATAAAATTGAAAAATATCAAAATCAATCATTTTTGGCGATTTTCTCGAAAATTTGTTCCTCTGCGTAGAAAGTTTGAGTGAAACAAGAGGAACCATTCTTCTGATATTATTTTGTAGCGTACAGAGCAAGTTCAGGTTTGACTTTTAAATCTAGAATAAATAATTTCTAGCTCTTGGTCGAGAATAAGACGTCTATTTGATCTTGAAAGGTATGATTAAGTTGGTTGACTTATCTTTTCTAATTTGGATAATGAATAATTCAATTGAAGAGATTTTTAAACAGAAGTTTATTCAAAGAACAAGTAATTGAACTAGGTATTGCTAGTTAAACTACTTCTCTTATACTCTGGCCTTACGTAAGAAGAAGTTCAATTATCTGTACTTGTACCTTCCAGCTATTAACTACTTCTAATATAAATATGACATGCTTGTGGAAATGTAAGAATGTAGTCGATTTACTTTGTAGCAAAAAGAAGACAATTAAGTTTCCATTGTCGTCTTCTAGTTAATTTCGAGTCCAGGTAGTTTCTAGAACACGTTGACCGGTTAAGGAAGTTTCAACCAAGTGAACCAACAGGAATATACAGCATATTTCATCAATATATTACTGAGGTTGCGATTAAAATAATGAGTGAAAAATTAGTCTCAATATCATGAACATTATTTCAAGTTCTAATAACTCCCCTCTCCCCCCAGGAGTATGAAATAGAAGGGAGATACAACTGACGCGGCCCACCCTACCATATGATTATACATGCTTTGCAGACGGTACTCCATTTAAATAAGAAATATTTGTCTGATGTACAATTACCGCGTATACAATAACATATTCTTAATATTTCTTATACAAATGGAGTACCGTCTGCAAAGCATGCATTATCATAAATGGAGTTCCGTCTGCAACGCATGTATTATCATATGGTAGGGCGGGCCGCGTCAGTTGTATCTCAGATTATTTCATCTCCTTGCTCTCCCCCCGTTTTATGCAGACGCCAGTGGTGTATATTTCCTAATTACTCATTTCCCCCCCCCCTTCCTCTTACAGAAAATAAATTTTTTTTCCCTGAAGTGATAAATGGTTTTTAGGGTTTTTTTTTTGCTGAATTGTGGAAAATGAATGATATTTTTGGTAAAAAGTATCAAAAAGAATGAAAAAAACTTGCATTTTAATTTTTTACCCCAATTTATCAAAAATCATCCCCCCCCCTGGGGGGATGTAATTCTTAAAAATATACACCCCTGAACGCTTGGTTTCCCTTCCATGATTAGAAAGGAAATTATATTATAGTGGATCCAGATGCAGGAGGCTAAAACATTGCGGATCCGGATCCAAGTACTGGTAAAAATATTTTTTTTTTTAAGTCAAAATAACGAAAAGTAAAAAGCGACAAGAAGGTCCTGAACTAGTTGTTATATTTAAAGCAAAAAAGGGACTGTGCACCATTGGACCTACTTGTATGTCAATATCCCGACACCCTACAGGCAGGTTCAAGGAGAAGATTGATTTTAACTTCTCCAAATCGTTCGGAGATGCAAGACTTCAAAGTTTACCAAAATGTATGTAAAAGACACAAAATATATAATATAAATAGTTCTAGTTTCCACTTTCTGCTTTTGATGATCATAAAGTTATAGTTCTTAAAAAGCATTATTTTTGGATGAACAAAATTATTTTGGATATTGAACACAATTTAAAGTTTCAATTGTCCAGTACTGCATAGAATAAGTCGATAATTTGAAGTTCCTTGAATTAGAAGAAAATGACTGTATGTGAGAATACCAACGAGAGACGGCGGGATAATCGTAGAGGTTAACCCCTTTACAACAGGAGTATATATTTTTAAGCAATTACCCCCCCCCCCCCC